ACACGGGCAGTAATTGAATGATAAAAATCCTAACTGGCTGGTTTTGCTCAAATCGATCGATGGATCGCCTTGGTTACATTCGATCTGGCCATAGATGGATGGAATTTCGGTCGGTCTGATGAACCGGCTGAGATTTGATCCATCTATGGCAGGCTTAAAGTTTATCTAGACCCAAGGACAAAAATGTCCTATATTGCAGCTTACTAGTCCTTAGATGTTGTGGCTGCTTTAGTTTTCCTATTATCACAGCTCGAACCGTTGAGCCAGTGGGATGCGCCATGCTGGTCCTGGGTTCCCAGATGAGAGCACGGAGCCTGGGAAACATGGGGGGGTTTGGGTGGAGTGGGGTGACGAATGTACCGGGGGGGTGTGGAAGCAATCTACAGCCAACAGTTGGCTTGGCAGGTTAAAGCCAGCCATAGATGGATCAAATCTTGGCCGGTTCAGCAGGGACCAGCTAAAATTCGATCTATGGGCGGGCTGGTTGTACCAAAGTTGATCCATGGATCGATTTGGGTAAAACCAGCCTGTTGGATTTTGTTGCATGTGATTACTGCTGGTGGCTATAGCCACCAGTGGTGATCATTGTGTTCTGTGGCAGGGAAGGCTTCCCATTAACAGAACACAACAGCTTTGGAAGAGGTATTTCCCCCATCAACACTATGTATGGATTTTGAGAGGACCCCATGCCAAAATTAAAATTAAAAAAAAAAAAAAAAAGACATGGGTTTCAAAATCAACATCAGATCCTTAGGTTTGGTATAAATTTTAAGTGGAACCCCAAGCCAACATTTTTTTTTTTGTTAAATGGAGTGGGGTCCCCCCAAAATCCATTTCAGGTCCTTAGATTTGTTATACATTTTAAGAAGAACCCCAAGCCAACATTTTTTTTTTCTGTTAAATGGAGTGGGGTTCCCCCAAAATCCATAGCAGACCCTTGTCCAAGCATGCAGCCTGGCAGGCCACGAAGGGGGGAGGGGGGGGGGGATGAACGAGCACCCCCCCCCATCCTAAACCATACCAGGCCACATGCCCTCAACATGGGGTGGTGCTTTGGAAAAGGGGCTCCCCCCAAAGCACCTTGTCCCCATGTTGATGGGGACAAGAGCCTCTTCCCCACAACTGTGGCCTGTGGTTGTGGGGGTCTGCGGGTGGGGGCTTATTGGAATCTGGAAGGCGCTTTAATAAGTGAGCCCCCAGATACAAGCCCCCCCCATCACGGGATACTGCCCGAGTGACAGAGATCTCCGAATAACGAAAATTTTGTCCGAATTTAGATTAGTAATGTAACAAATTGTACGTCTAATAAACAGAGACATGAACGGGACGCCCCAAGAACCCCCTTTACTCCCTGTTTATAGAGAACCTCATCCTCCGGCGGGACAATTCCCATGGTGACCGATTCCAATAAATATTAATATCTGTATAAATATTTAAAAAGTTCAGAAGACTCGGGCTGGTTTGGACAACTCCTCGTCTACTGTCACTTGTCCCCCGGACTAGAACATTACTCATCAATCCAGGAATGGTGACCCCATTTTCCGCCGCTGGGCGCGTTATTTATGGAATCAAAGAGCCGCAACACCACATTCTGTACACACAGGACTCATTCAACCGTCAGAAGAGATCTCATTGCTAAACAATCGCCCCATTTAACAGACAGACGGCGTATTGATGGGGCGTCCAGGAGAGCCAACCCTGAGCTTTGCTTATCCTGAATACTGCGAGAAATATGTGTGATTATTAAAGAGGAAAAGAACGTCTGATAGACTTACAGAATGATACATTGTATCCAGCTATGATTGTAAGAATGATAGAGAGATAAAGAGATAGATAGATAGATAGATAGATAATAGATAGATGATAGATAGATAGATAGATAGATAGATAGATAGATAGATAATAGATAGATAGATAGATAGATAGATAGATAGATAGATAGATAGATAGATAGATAGATAGATATATAGATAGATAGATAGATAGATAGATAGATAGATAGATAGATAGATAGATAGATAGATAGATAGATAGATAGATAGATAGATAGATAGATAGATAGATAGATAGATAGATAGATAGATAGATAGATAGATAGATAGATAATAGATAATACAGTTGCAAGAAAAAGTATGTGAACCCCTTGGGATTACGTGGAGTTTTGCATGAATTGAGCATAAAATGTGCTCTGAACGTCATCTGTCACAACAATAGAAGAACACAGTCTGCTGAACATAATACTACACAAACATTAGATGTTGCCATGGTTTAATTGCACATAACATGTAAACATTCACAGTGCAGGGAGGAAAAAGTATGTGAACCTTTGGACTTAATAACTGGTTGACCCTTTTTTGGCAGCAATACCCTCAACCAAACGTTTCCTGTAGTTGCAGATCAGACCTGCACAACGATCTGGAGTAATTTTGGACCACTCCTCTTCACAAAACTGTTTCAGTGTAGCAATATTCTTGGGATGTCTGGTGTGAATCGCTCTCTTAAGGTCATGCCACAGCATTTCAATCGGGTTGAGGTCAGGACTCTGACTGGGCCACTCCAGAAGGCGTATTCTGTGCTGTTGCAGCCATTGTTTTGTTGAATTACTTGTATGCTTTGGGTCATTGTCCTGTTGCATCACCCATCCTCTCCGGAGCTTCAATTGGCGGACAGATGGTCGTACGTTTTTCCTGCAAAATGTCTTGATAAACTCTGGAATTCATTTTCCCATCAATGACAACAATCCGTCCAGCCCTGAGGCAGCAAAGCAGCCCCAAACCATGATGCTCCCTCCGCCATGTTTTACAGTGGGGATGAGGTTTTGATGTTGGTGTGCTGTGCCTTTTTTTCTCCACACATAGTGTTGTGTGTTCTTCCCAAACAACTCAATCTTGGTTTCATCTGTCCACAGTATATTTTGCCAGTAGTGCTGTGGAACATCCAGGTGCTCTTTTGCAAACTTCAAACGTGCTGCAATATTCTTTTTGGACAGCAATGGCTTCCTCCGTGGTGTCCTCCCATGTACTCCATTCTTGTTTAATGTTTTCCTTATTGTAGATGTGTCAACAAAAATGTTAGCATGTTCCAGAGATTTCTGTAGGTCTTTAGCTGACACTCTGGGATTCTTCTTTACCTCATGCAGCATTCTGTGCTGTGCTCTTGCAGTCATTTTTACAGGACGACCACGCCTAGGGAGAGTAGCAACAGTGCTAAACTTTCTCTATTTGTAGACAGTCTGTCTTACCGTGGACACATGAACATCAAGGCTTTTGGAGATACTTTTGTAACCCTTTCCAGCTTCATGCAAGTCAACAATTCGTGATCGTAGGTCTTCTGAGAGCTCTTTTCTGCGAGGCATGGTTCACATCAGACAGTGCTTCTTGAAACCAGTAAACCCAAAACAGGTGTGTGTTTTTTTAAGGGCAGGACAGCTGTCAGCAACACATCCAATATCATCACACTGATTGGAGTCAAGGTTGGCTCACTCCTGGCTCCAATTAGCTCTGGGAGAAGTCATTAAGCTAGGGCTTCACATACTTTTTCCTCCCTGCACTGTGAATGTTTACATGTTATGTGCAATTAAACCATGGCAACATCTAATGTTTGTGTAGTATTATGTTCAGCAGACTGTGTTCTTCTATTGTTGTGACTTAGATGACGTTCAGAGCACATTTTATGCCCAATTCATGCAAAACTCCACGTAATCCCAAGGGGTTCACATACTTTTTCTTGCAACTGTAGATAGATAATAGATAGATAGATAATAGATAGATAGATAGATAATAGATAGATAATAGATAGATAGATAACAGATAGATAGATAATAGATAGATAATAGATAGATAGATAGATAATAGATAGATAATAGATAGATAATAGATAATAGATAGATAGATAGATAATAGATAGATAGATAATAGATAGATAATAGATAGATAGATAGATAATAGATAGATAGATAATAGATAGATAATAGATAGATAGATAGATAGATAGATAGATAGATAGATAGATAGATAGATAGATAGATAGAGAGTGACTGGGTGGTAATTTAAAATTTAAACATCTCTGGTACAGAGACTGATGTATTACATGTTACCAACCCCTGCACTTTCCATACTACTGAACTCTAAACTTTGCATTACTTACTATTGATGTCTGAACTCTGTGCAATTCTTTCCTGCGCCCTGCACTCTGCATTACTTACTACTGAGCCCTGCACTCTGCATTACTTACTACTGAGCCCTGCACTTTTTGTAACGTACTACTGACCTCTGAACTCTGTTACTTACTATTGGAGCCTGAACTCTGTGATACTTCCTACTAACCTCTGAACTCTGCATTACTCACTACTGACCTCTGCACGCTGTGTTACATACTATGGACTCCTAAACTCAGCATTACTTACTACTGATGTCTGAACTCTGTGCAATATTCTCCTGACCCCTGCACTCTGCATTATTTACTACCGACCCCTGCACTCTGTGATATCATTGACCCCTGCACTCTGTGTAACAAATTGCTGACCTCTGCACTCTGCATTACTTATACAGGGAGATCGCCACCTTTCCAGGACACTGAGTGGAGGTCAGTAGAGGGATTGGGAGAGAGGGGTGGAGGACACTGAGTGGAGGTCAGTGGAGGGGTGGAGGACACAGAGTGGAGGCCAGTGGAGGGGTGGAGGACACTGAGTGGAGGTCAGTGGAGGGATTGGCAGAGAGGGGTGGAGGACATTGAGTGGAGGTCAGTGGAGGGATTGGCAGAGAGGGGTGGAGGACACTGAGTGGAGGTCAGTGGAGGGATTGGCAGAGGGCGGTGGAGGACACTGAGTGGAGGCCAGTGGAGGGATTGGCAGAGAGGGGTGGAGGACACTGAGTGGAGGGATTGGCAGAGAGGTATGGTGGACACTGAGTGGAGGTAAGTGGCGGGATTGGCAGAGAGGGGTGGAGGACACTGAATGAAGGCCAGTGGAGGGATTGGCAGAGTGGGATGGAGGACACAGATTGGAGGCCAGTGGAGGGATTGGCAGAGAGGGGTGGAGGACACTGAGTGGAGGTCAGTGGAGGGATTGGCAGAGAGGGGTGGAGGACACTGAATGGAGGACACTGAGTGGAGGCCAGTGGAGGGATTGGCAGAGAGGGGTGGAGGACACTGAATGGAGGCCAGTGGAGGGATTGGCAGAGAGCAGAGAGGGTAGCAGACACTGAACGGTTGGTAAGGTGGATGAGTCTGGCAGCAGCATTCATGATGGACTGGAGGGGGGAGTGGCCTATGTAAAGGTCATCCAATGAGGAGGGAGTTGCAGTAGGCGAGGTGAGACATAACCAGGGAGTGAATTAGGAGCTTTGTGGTGTCATGGGGTAAAAAGGGGCGTATTCTGGAGATGTTGCGGAGGTTGAGGTGCCATGATCTGAACAGGAATTGGATGTGGGCCTGAAAGGATAGTTCAGAGTCCAGGGTTACCCCCAGCACCCCGGCATGCAGGGATGGGTTGATGGTGCTATTGATCCTGACTGAGATATCAGGGGAAGAGGCACGTGGGGGGGAGGTAATACTCTGAGCTCAGTTTTGGATAGATTGAGTTTCAGGAAGTGGAGTGACATCCAGTCTGATATGTCTGTCAGTAAATCGGTGATACGGGAGGAATCTGATGGGGTGAGCTGAGGAGTAGAGAGATAGATTTGTGTGTCATCAGCATAGAAATGGTATTGGAAACCATGGGAAGCTATCAGCTGACCCAAGGAAGAAGTGTAGATGGAGAATAGGAGAGGTCCAAGGACAGAACCTTGGGGGGACCCCGACAGTAAGAGGAGTAGGAGAGGTCCAAGGACAGAACTGTGGGGGACCCCGACAGTAAGAGGAGTAGGAGAGGTCCAAGGACAGAACCTTGGGGGGACCCCGACAGTAAGAGGAGTAGGAGAGGTCCAAGGACAGAACCTTGGGGGGACCCCGACAGTAAGAGGAGTAGGAGAGGTCCAAGGACAGAACCTTGGGGGGACCCCAACAGTAAGAGGAGTAGGAGAGGTCCAAGGACAGAACCTTGGGGAACCCCGACAGTAAGAGGAGTAGGAGAGGCGGAAGTAGAGTTGGAAGTGACACTGAAGGTGCGGTGAGATAGGTAAGATCTGAACCAACGGAGAGTCCAGACATGGAGACCAAGTAGATTTTTTCGAGGAGGGAGGGGGTGGTCAACTGTGTCAAAGGCAGCAGAGAGGTCCAAGAGCAAGAGTACGGAATAGTGACCATTGGTTTTAGCCAACGGTCACATCGAACTTCCTGTCCTGGTGACAAGAAAAAGATTTGCCAACTTCTTACCAATAAAAGTGGATGTTCACCGAACAAGAGCATTCTCCCGAAGAGGATTATACTGTATACTGCCTGTGAGTGACCATTACCGACATGGGGGGACGTTAGAGTGTAAGCTCCTCTGGTGCAGAGACTGATGTGACTGTGGGGGGAGGGGACATTAAAGTGCAAGCTCCTCTGGTACAGAGACTGATGTGACTGTGGGGGAGGGGACATTAGAGTGTAAGCTCCTCTGGTACAGAGACTGATGTGACTGTGGGGGAGGGGACATTAGAGTGTAAGCTCCTCTGTACAGAGACTGATGGGACTGTGGGGGAGGGGATATTAGAGTGTCAGCTCCTCTGGTACAGAGACTGATGTGACTGTGGGGGAGGGGACATTACAGTGTAAATTTTTTGTTTATTAAAAATCTTACAAACAGCATAATAAAAAAAACATATTTACATATATACAGAATAAAATATAAATATTATTATTATTATACAGGATTTATATAGCGCCAACAGTTTACTCAGCACTTTACAATATAACATATATATAAATATATATAATTAAACAAAAACATCTTACTTCAGCATAGAAAACATAGAAAAAAGGGTTTTTTTTTCCCGTAAAACAACAAAACAGAACCAATCATTTTAATATTACTATAATTATCATCTTTATATTGCATCTTAACAAACCCATCCGTCACCTAAACCCCCCCTCAGGCGCTAAGAAACGATGAAACATTGATCCCATACATGCCGCCTTTTTTCAAAAATCTGATGTTACAAAAATCTAGGGGACGTGAAAGGACAGAAAGAGAAGCCACGCCCCCAGAGACTGACAGACAGCAGCTACGGGGACCTGACATTCCTCCACGCCTTTGTCCAGGCTCCCGGCTGCCACGTGTCCTTCTCAAGATCCCGAATCTTTCCAACCTCACCCAGAATGTTGTTCACCACCACCTCGACAGGAAGGACTTTTTTGCGAATGGAAACCTGACACCGTGCATTCCACGTGTGGTAACGGACTACTAAGCTAACTAGAAAAAGTGTCTCAAAATCAAAGTCCCGGTGAGTCTGAAAGGCTCCGTAAGACCACTCTGCGTAACTTAAGCGGGAAAGGAAAGGGATACCCAGAGCCCCACCCACCTGCTTGTAGACTTCTATACTGAAGGGGCACTGAAGCAAGAAATGATCCATCGTCTCCTCCACCCCACCGCACTCCACTCTTGGACAAAGGGATATTAGAGTGTAAGCTCCTCTGGTGCAGAGCCTATGCTCAAGTCTATGGGCTCTGTCTGAGAGACTTCATATCATTCGAGGTGTATCTTCTCAGTCACGACAGGATGGAGAGTAAAGGGCAAGTGTGTGTGTGTGTGTGTGTGTGTGTGTGGGTGTGTGTGGGTGTGGGGGGGGGGGGGGGTTGTACCTTATCCCGGGCCTCGCTCAGAAGGTCCTCCAGTTCCGAGAAGCTGAAACTGGCCACAGTGATGAAGTCACCCATGACTGGCACAAAGCGGTCTCCTGCCTCCCGGTAGTGCCGCTTTTGATACTCCAACTCCTGCAGAATGAAGAAAGGGTTAATTCCAGAGCAAACTAATTATGAACTACTAATTATAGCACTTTAGGATGAACTGTTTTATGAACAAGTGATAATGTTTGAAAAGAAACTTATTTTTAAGTACAGTATAATTGGTAAACTTCTATGTACAGGGTGGTAGCCATAGTTGCTCATCACATACTGCCTCCAACCTCCACCTTTGCAGTGCTATACAATGGCCATGTTTTACTGGTTCCTCTCACCATGGGGAGTCTATGAGTCTTTATAAAAAACAATGCACACCCTGTGTGGCTGATATATTACACTATATATAGTCAAACGTATGTAGACCTCTCCTCCAAAGGATGGAGATCGGGTGTCTCCCATGAAGGGTCCATGAAGGGTCTTTCTACATCATACAAAGACACTGTAGACAATTGTGCTCTTCCAACCTTGTGGTGACAGCTTGGTGAAGGGCCCTTTTCTGTTCCACTTTGACTGTGCCCCCTGTGTACAAAGCCAGATCCATAAAAAACATGGTGTGACCAGGCTGGTTTGGAGGAACTCAGTCCTTCACACTGTCCCCAACCCTTTGTTTTGGAATAGGAGGTCTAACAAGCTCATATTTGTGATGGTCAGATGTCCAACAACCTTTGGCCAATTGGTGTATCTCAGCAGTAATTAAAGAAGAACTAAATTCACTCAATCAACATGAACTGTTATTAATCCTTATGCTGCTAACATCGGTAAATAGATAGGAAGGTATATTAGGTTTACTTGTTTTAAAGTTTTATTTTCAGTGTTTTCCTGGTTTCTGGCCTAGGCCTCAATGATGTCATACATCCCGGGAGTCTTCATGGTGGATGCAGGGGCGTATTAACCACAAGGCAAACAAGGCATTTGCCTAGGGCGGCTTTTTTCAGGGGAGACAATGCCAAACCCCCCCCCCCCTGAACGAAAGGGATGGAAGAAGGGACACACGCAGCATGGGGACCAGGTGGGATCCGGGAGAGGCTGCGGGCTGCTTGATGGTGTATGCAGAACCTGACTCTTGTTCCTGGAGAGGTTCAGAGCTGTGAAGGTGAGTGTCTTCTCTGTCTCGCAGGGGTGGGGGGGTGGCTTGTGTATGGGGGGTAGTAGAATGTTCTCTTGGGTGGGGGGGGGGGCTGCGGTGTTGTTGGTCAATGTCAGGTTCTCTTTGTGGGGGAGGGGTGTGTTAGTCAAGCTCAGGGACTCTCCATGGGGGGGCGATTTTTGTGTTGCCTAGGGCAGCAGGAAACCTAAATGCACCACTGGGTGGATGGGCTTTCTACGCTAAGCACTCCCTCCTGTCTGCATGCCTGAGCTCAGGGCAGGTGGATTCCAGGAAATAAATACTACATGAATCATCATCTGCCCTTTCTCAGGATGGCCACAGCTAAAAAAATGGTAGGGGGGGGTTGGGTTCCAATGTGACTTCTCAACAATATAAAGCATGGAGATATCATTGGATGAGTGGGTTTGCTTGGCATATGACAAAGAGTTTTCAGGTCTTGGTGTTCATAAACCGCAGAGTTCTGCTTTAAGAAAGGAAGGGAAATCAATTACAATGAGCCACTGAGAGCTCCCTCTAGTGGCTAATCTATAATCCCCTAAATTTAACACTTGAAACAAAGGGGAGAAGAGGCATATTAACCACTTCCTGTCCGCCCATGTATATAAACGGCTGGATGGTGGCAGTGCAGGAGCGGGTTGCCGTTCATAAACAGCGCCTGCCATTTTAGCCTGTGCGAGCTCCCTGGGAGCATGCGGCACCACACCGATCACTGTACGGAACCTCTGTGTGAGGTCCTGATCATGTGATCACTGATTGGCCAATCCGTGATCACATGAATAGTAGCAAGCAAGATGTCACTTCTGACATCATTGCTTACTACGTGTGAAATCTGTGAATGATCACAGAGATCACATGGTAAAGGGCCATTCACAACAGCCTTGTACCATTGTGACAAGCTGTGACCAATCACAGCTCACACAGTATTTCTCAATTGCTGCAGGAATGCAGCCAGAGAGAAGGAGAAATGATTGCTTTTACAGCCTTTATGGGTGTTAAAAGCAATTAGTGTAAAAAAAAAAAAAATCTTCATCACCCCCCACAAGTGTACTGCTAGGGTGACCATATGTAAAAAAAACCCATAAATAATAATATAAAAAAATAAAATAAAAATGTAAATAACATTTTTGAAAAATTATAACTTTTGGCTATAAACTAATTTGGGTTATTTTTTTTTTACTAAAAAGATAACTGAATACATTTTGGCCAAGATTTATGAAGAAAGATTATTTATTTGCAAACTTTTATAAGAGAAAAACACTTTTTTTCAAAATGTTTGGACTTTTTTCATTTTATATAGCAAAAAAAAAAAAAATCCCAGCAATGAATAAACACCACCAACATAAAGTTTTAGCTGCCTCAAAAAAAATGCTAAAAAATTCATATGGGGTGAAAGTGTCCGGACTGGAAGGGGGGGGGGGGGGGGGGTAGGGGGGGGAAGTGTCCGGACTGGAAGGGGGGGGGGGGGGAAGTGTCCGGACTGGAAGGGGGGGG